TTGAGAAACAACTGAGTAGATGATATAGTACAAGATCTCCAGTCCCCAGAGGTTTAAAACATTTATTTCCCATGTTTCCCAGATGTCTATGTTGTAGAATTCTTCATTGATTTTTTTTTCAATTCACTATTTGAATAGTTTTTCCCATTTGTAAACATGAGTATCCAAACAGTAGCTCACAGCACATTTCAGTGTACACATATAAATATTTCAGTGGGACAGAAAACTGCACTTCATTCAAACAACAGATTAGGGATAAAATAGTGGTTTTAAGGTTGTTTCTGACATTTAAAAAGAGTAAAGTATTTTTTATCCCCTTGCTGCCTGTTGTATCTCTAGATACCTAATAATTTTGAAGAGAAGATCCCAGCATGTTATATACACTGAAACCCCCTCCGATAGCAAAGTGATATCTTCTTTTCTATTTTTCATTTCTGGATGCTGGCTACAGTCAACGATATAATTGTGTTCTCATATTGATTTTCTTATAAAAATGTATCCTTGTTAGATTCATTGATGACTATACATTACTGAGGCACCTGATAAAATTTCATTGTGTTATTACCACTGCACTGGAAATGCTCTTTGCTCGATGAAAAGAACGACTTTTAAGGTGAAGATGAAATTGCGTTTAATGCAGAATTCCAGAGAGTGGCATCCTTACTTGAAAACTAATCATCAAGAACTCCCACCCTCAAATCCACTCAGTATTATTCTCTGTTGAGAAGATGCACTGTATCATTCTAACTTGACCTCAGTTTTCCAATTGTAAGAAAAGATAAATTTCCCACTTTAAACACTTACTTACCCACTGAAAGCTTTAAGTTCTTCAAAAGAATCCTGGTTCTCTCGGGGTGGCCTGTGTGGTGCACCCCCTCTGTCACGCTGAATAGACTTCGGTGGCCTGTACCTGGTTAACTTAAATTGACTTGGGTTAGAAGATTTGTTAGAACAACTCAAGTCAAATAGTGGCTTTGTGTTTGTAAGGTTGCACAAATATATAACCCATAGTTCTTTTCCCTTTTTCATTTGGGGGATTATAATAACAACAAGTCCTCCTTTTTACTAAGAAATACTAAAATATTCTCTTTCATTTTTATCAGAATTCTAGGCTTCCTGAAATTCCTAAAGCTCCATACTGACAAAACAAGGGAGAATACATTTTTTAATGTCTATTCAACCATTATAGATTATTTCTAAGGAGTCCAACTAAAAAGAAAATAGCTAATACTGTCACTTAAAAATTTGATATGACATACTCTTATAAGATCATTTACTTTTCAGTTAAATGCATCCCAGCCTGTGCCATTCCTGATGACGTGGATCATGGACAGTCCGTTTAAAAAAAATAAAATTTTCTTCTTGGTGAAAAATAACTTTAAAAAGTAATTTCTCGTTTAAAATTAGAATCATTGTTAATTTTAAATAATAAAAGTATTCAGAATTCCACATCAATTAGATGACAGCAAATTTATGCATAAACTTAATTTTAAGGATTTGGACACAAAACTAGCACTTTGCTACATAAAAGATGGTGTCAGACACCACAACACTTCCTAGTTCAGTCTAATCTGAACTAGAAACTATTTTAAAACCATCTTCTTATTTCTTTAAATCACATGCAATAACTCAGCCAGCTCACAAGGCACTACTAAGAAGAAATATTTAGGGGCCTGATTGACAAATAGAGAAATAATTCATAATTAGCATGTCAATTGCATATGACTGGCTGCTTCCTGGGACTTAAAATAACATGTACACTAAACTGTGCTTTGTAGAATGTTAATTTGTTTAGCAATTTTTTTCTTCAGGCTAGAAATAAGAGCCCAGTTCTTGTCTTGGTTATCAGAGCTCTCCTTACAGGTAGCGAGGTTTTCAAATAATCCAACTTGTCTCCTGACTCCCCACTGTTTCTGGCTTAAACTGGAGTAAGTTACTAGTATTTGTATATCTGCAAGCCTTGGTTTCCACACTTGAAAAGTAAGGACAAGAGTCTGTGCAAGTTCAAGTGAATCAAGAATTCAAATTGAACTTGATGCTAAAAAGATGAGCAGGTACACAGCAGTTTTCTCCATAAATCATTTTGAGGGAGTTCTGCCCACAATAACATCCTACTTGCCCATTGTATCAAGTGTGTGTAAACAAAACTACTCTTTTAAGTTGGTCTAAAAAATATGCACTTAGGGACTTATAAATAGCATATTTTTATTCATTAAGTCGTTTTTAAAATAGGCTGTGAATGAGGACTTCAACATGCTTAAGAAAATATTATTCATTCTGCAAAGAGTTACTGCGGCCTGGAATACAAACTGGTCACTGGGGACTGTGTGAAAGCCACAGCAGGAGGAGGTAGAGGCCATTGCCCTCCTTCCTCCACGACAACTCGAACCTCCTCAGCCTTGGCCTGTCCACTCCTGAGGGACGGTCCACTGAGGCTTTTGCAGCCTGAACATGACCGAGATGTTTGATTTGAACAAGGCAGAAAATCACAAAACTAAAAACAAATTTGCTATATGGGGGGGGCGGGGGGGGGGAGGGAGTGCTTTGCTTTCCAGATTTTATTTTAAAACATTTATTCAGGCTTCTCTATGATTTCAAGCCCCACAGCCCAAAGGCATTAAACTGAATTGAAGCTTAATGGCCTGAAAAGTTGCCTTTTGAATTAAAGCACATCCAGTTACAAAGCAGGGAGGGGCGGGCATCTGCAACTAATCTGAAAATTCCATCTGATCCTGGACTTTGAGGACACAGAAATAGCCAGAAGAATACAGTGCTTTCAAATCACATAGGGGAGCATATGATTTCTGGGAGCTGGGTTTCTGTACCAATGCCTAGTTAAGGGGCTTTTCCATTAGTGAAGAATAAACTATAATATAGCGAGGTTTAGATGGGCCTGGTGAAGAAAAAAATAAGCTTTTCCAGATTCTCTTCTCACTAAGTTATTCACTTAATATGGAGGCAAATTCTACAACCTTTCCTTTTATAGGTAAATGGGGCATTGTTCCCAAACCAGTGGGCTCCAGAATAGCAATGATATACTGGATACAGGTAGAAATTTTTAATTTTTTATGTTAGTGTAAGTTGCCCGCATGTTTATTTAGCAAGTGGTTCTTTGGAGATAAGAGAAATAAAGCAGGGAGCAGAAGAAAACTTCCAAAAAACTACAACTAAAATTCTCCAGGGGAAAAGAGAAAATATTGCATCCATGAAACAAGAAGGAGCTATAAACACAGAATAAACAAAGATGAGCTTTTTGGGGGGGGGGAAGAAAAGATAGCCAAAATAAAAAGTCCAGTAAGAGGACTGGGAGATAAAGTCAATAAAATCTCCTAAGGAAATAGACAAAGAAAATTTTAAGAAATTGAGTATCAATATAAAATATTAAACAGCTGATAAATAAAACTGACAAAAAGAAAATGATTGGGAGACAATACTCAAATAAATAATATAAGAAACATTCCCAGATCTGAAGTTTATAAATCTGAGAAAAGAAAGGCCCTCTGAGAATCTAGTATAATCAATGAAAGATGTTCACATAAGGAATTTTAGATCACTCTGGATAAAGGGAAGATCCTAATAGCTTCCAAATGGGAGACCCGGCACATACAAAGGATCAGGAATAAGAATGGCATCAGACTTCTCAAAAGCTACATTGGGACCTACAGAACAATGAAACAATGAAGATCATATTCAATTAGCATTTCATAGCCAAACTATCATGCCAATGTGAGGGTAGAATAAATATATTTTAAAACGAGATGAAATGATCACTTCTCATGCCCTTTTTTTCTCGGGGACCCTTTTTTGGAGCAAAACAAGGAGTTAAGTATGCACTTTAGTCAGTTTAGCTCAGTGGATGGAGTGTCGGCCTGTGGACTGAAGGTTCCCACGTTTGATTCCAGTCAAGGGCACATGCCCTGGTTGTGGGCTCGATCCCCAGTAGGGGACATGCAGGAGGCAGCCAATCAATGATTCTCTCTCATCATTGATGTTTCTATCTCTCTCTCTCTCCCTCTCCCTTCCTCTCTGAAATAAATAAAAATATATTTTTTTAAATATGCACTTAAAGAAGATAGGGAATCCAATGTAGATAAAAGGCAAGGAGAATCCCAGGACCACAGACCTCTAGAGCAACTGGCTCAAATTAGAGCAAGAAGATCCAGGATCCAAGGGAGATACTTCCAGGGAGAAAGAAATCAAAGGAAGGGTATAGGGGGAACCTGATAGAGTGTCAGACAGGTTAACCTTTAGGGAAACTGGACAGAGAGACATAAGAGGGTATGGAACAATCTATTACTGAGTACAAAGAAAACAAATCCAATGAAAATCAAGAAAGTTAGTAACTCTGAGGCAAGTGAAAACTTATATGACAGAAGAAACGTAATCATGGTACACTCTTTGGCTCAGACAAGAATAATAGTAGTCATCCTATATAATAAAAGGGTAATATGCAAATCGACCAAACGGCAGCACAACCTGTCACTATGATGCTCACTTTCCACCAGCGGGCAGACACTCAACACAGGAGCTGCCCCTGGTGGTCAGTGAGCTCCCACAGGGGGAGCATCACTCAGCCAGAAGCCAGGCTGAAGGTTAGTGAGCGCAGTGGCGGTGGCGGGACCCGCCTTCGCTATAGCACTAAGGGGTCAGTTGAACATCCCCGGAGGGCTCCTGGACTGCAAAAGGGCACAGGCTGGGCTGAAGGGACCCACCCCGCCGCCACCACCACCACCACCACTCCCCTCCCCAAGTGCACAAATTTTGTGTACTGGGCCACTAGTAGATATACTATAAGCTCAGAAATTATGAAGGCCAGCCACTAGTTGGCCTCTCCCCACCCCCAGCCCCCTCCCACCCCCCAGTGCACGAATGGCCTCTAGTAGTTGTATAAACTCCGAAATACTAATTTAACCAAAACTAGTGGGGCAAGACTCAGGGTGGTGTAAGAGAGTCCTCTCTGTCAGAGTCGCAGGCAAAGGTGGTGAGTAAAACTGACCACTCAGGAGAGCGCCCTTATTTAGAAGCACACACTCTTATTTAGAAGTTGTGGAAGTCATACCAAATAACAAACAAACAAACAAATGAGCCAAAAGAGCCGAAAGCAGTTGAAGGGTGGAGAACAGGTCTTTATTACATAGTCAATGAGACATTTCCTCTTCATGGAAAACTTTTACCTAAAGATGAACAGCAATTCTGATCTTCTACTACAAAGTGCCTTAATTCTGTACTTTAAAAAGTAGATTATCATGTTCTTGTTAAGCATTTAATATCAAAAGGTAAAGACGTTCCTCCCATCCTACCCACTTCATCACAGGCCTGCCCAGTCCTCTATGCCAAGATGAATGGACCAGACCAGACACTCCACCGGCCTGAATAAAATATACACTATCTCTAAGCTGCCAATGGATTCTTTCAAAAGTTCCTGGGCCAGTTGTTTGAAATATGAGAATGTTTTTTTTCTGCATTACCCCTATCCCAGGAGATATGTTTTAGATGCCTACTTATCACAAGATTCTGGATTCTGCTCCTTGGGTCGAGGAGGAGGGAGATTGGATGGGTGGAACAATAAGTTAGATGTAGGTTATTGTTAAGACTGAGCTTTTGTGTTGGATGGTGGGTTCATGGATACTTATTCACAAGATTATATTTATGAAAAAGTAAACAATAAAAACAGGACCATTGATAAGAATATGTCATGAACCAAAAATTATTAACTCATTTCTACATACCAGAAACCCAATGGAGACAAAAAAATCTATTAACCCAGAATCCTGCTTAGCTCATGATAATTCAGATGGCACATTGCCTATATATTCATCCACTGCATGCAATGAATATTTATTAAATATCTCCTAAGAAGTAAGGCATTAAATATGTCCTAGGGTTACAGTAATAAATAAAGGTAGGGCCCAAGACCTGTGGGTATTAGAGAATCACCTTTATCTTTCAGAATTCAGAAATTATATTTAAATATCTAGACCATTTCGAATGTTTTTAAAACATACACACAGCAGTTCCCTCAAACATCTCATATAATTATTAACAAAAAGGAAGGCAACAGTAAAATGGATTAGGAAAGTGTGTGTGTGTGTGTGTGTGTATTTGTGAAATATATATACTCTTGTGAAAGTAGATTTAATTGGAAGTTCCAAAAAAGTCCAAGCAATTTTGATAATGCTGGTCCTTCCCTTTCCCTTGACATGCATGCCCTTGAGCATCGCTTTAAGCTTATTAGTCAAGATTAGGGACATATTTAGGTCATAGATATAGTGGTACATGTTAATACTGAGAAAATAGCTAAAGTCTCTAGATTCTCTCCACAAAACAATATTTTCCCATTATTTCTTGATTCTTCATTTTTTACACACATTCTTCTCCAGGGTTTCTGTCTAGTTCTCTTGAGTTGCTTTCTTTCATTCTAAAAATATATATGAGTGCCTTGATTACAAAACAAGTTTTAGCCCAGAGGGATTCTGGTTTAAACCATACTCTCCACAGCTCACAGACCACACACACACTCACCCCACATACACCTGACAGCTGCACAGTCAGCAGTCTCAGACCTGAAGTTCATGGTCATACATCAGGGCCAAGGTTTCACATGGGCTCATTCAGAGAAAATATACTTACCCTGAAGTTACAACTTTGCCAAGGGCTGGGACCGTAGGTAGGTGATGCCTGGTTCCTGGCCTCCAAACTCATAACCTCATCCCCAGAATAACAATGCTATAGGAAATAGCAAGGTAGCTAGAGGGAAGAGCGAAGAGGAAAATTTCTCATTATTTGAGAAACACTAACATAGCACTTACTCTTTGCCAGCTCTGTTTTAAGTGCTTTACAAATATTAACCTGTGAGGTAGATACCATTATTCACGTTGAAACATGAAAAGATGGAGGCCAGAGAGGTTAAGTAACTTGTCTAAGATCACACAGCTAAAAGATGATGAATTTGATCCAAGCAGTCTGGCTCCAGAGTCTGTGCTCTTAATTATGACTCTCTGCAACCTCCTTGAGCCTACTCTCTACCTTTCTAATCCTGCGATAATTAATAATCTGTTTTCATTCTCGAAGGAATAGAGAGTGTGGGTGGGGAAAGGGCTTGGGCTAAGCCCAGAATCTACCTTTCCAGGCAAGCAGAGGAGCAGACGCTAGAACAGGGGAGTCAGGGAAGGAGGGTGTGGGTTCAAGATCTGTAGGGTGAGAATCTGGTTCTCCCTGGCCAGAACATGCTTGGGGATGGATAACGCTGGTCGCCAAGGTGGAGAGAGGTGACTCCAGGCCTGGAAGCCATTCACAAATAGGAAATAAGGCAGAAGCAGAGGTTAAAGTCTGTCTGAACTGATAAGAGGACTCTGTGGATGGAGCACATTGGAAAATGAGCCAAATCACTGTCATCAGAGAAGCATATAAATAGCATTAAGACCTTGGCCTCTTTTCCCAGTCAACTCAGTGAATGTTCAGAAAGGCCTACTGTGAGGAAAGGGTCACATTCGACAGAATAAAATAAGGAGATGGCCCAGGCTTTTCTCATCTCGATGAGCCTTTACATTGAACTTGACTGTGGGCGTGATAGGCATGAGATGTTTGGAGGGGACCTCAGCCACCAAGGCCCCTTGAGAGCGCCGTCAGCACAGTCTGAGAGCAGCAGGGCTTCTGGGAACCTCCACTAGGTGGAAGGGAAAATAAATGGGGGCGGGGGAGGGGAGCAAAGCAGCCAATATTAGTCAAGATAACAGAAATCCACAATAGAAGGTCAGCCACTCTAAGAATAACTGTCCTGCAAAAACAAAACCAGGCCAAATATAACGTCTCCTACCCCAGCCAAAAGCATCTGCCTTTTGAAGTTAGTGTTATCTTCCGGCTTTGTTTTGTGTTTTTTCTCCTTTATCCCCTATAGGTTCTTCTAAGGTAGGCCATTCTCTGTGAGAAGATATATGTGAACAAGGTTTCATTTGACATCTGTTTTCCAACTATTAAACTTGAGGTGGTTATTTTTAGAATAAAAGACCATTTAAGAAATAATTAGGTGCCCATAGCTAGTTTTTAAAAAAATTTTAAGGTTATGTCTAAAATAATTCAGACTGATTGAAAAGTAGGAGAAAATAACTTAGATTCGAAGTTTATTAAAAGGACCAAATATTTAAAAATCAGCAATATAATGTATCTGCGTGCACCTCCATTTTTCCCCATTTGCATGCTGTACTGCCGTTTGCAAAACATGGCTCCCCTGACCCTCCCAGCCCCCAGCCTGGGAGCCAGCTTGAGCAGTTGGGTTTCCGGGAGTGGTGATGTGGTGATGGATTTGCTATGATCCACCCTCACCCTTTCTCCCGTTTCCACCCATGATGAATGGACACCATTACAAGATGGTGACTGGGGTTAGGAGTGCACCTAGGAGAGCTCACCTCCAAGGGGGAATCAAACGCTGGACCTTGGCCCCTTTTGTGTGATGCTTTACCCCCACTGAACCAATCGGAAAAATAAGGGTGCTTATCGCTGGCTTGCCAAATGGAAGTGCTGTGAGAATGTATTTTTTAAAAAGAAGGATAAGGATGAAGAAAGATGTTAGAAGCTTTGCTTTCACAGTAAAAAAAAGCTTTACTTTCAAATGCCAGCTAATATTACCATAAATCAGGAACTGAGGCAATGGCATAAAAGCTGTTTCTGTAAGTCAACAACTGGCTAGAGACTACATGTGTCTACAAAATAGGTTTCGTAAGATCATGCTTATTTTAGAAACATCAATACTAAAACAGCAGTAACAGAAAGTGTTTTTCCCCTTAGTTTAAGCACTGCTTGAATATGTATTATATCCAGCCAAGCAATAACTGAACAAATTCCTCTCTTAAATGTCCCCAAGTTCAAGTATATGGCTTCGAGCACACCACAAGCTTTATAAAACAGCCTAGCTTTAAGTGTGCAATAATCGCTCATTTCCTGGCCATTAATTCAGACATCATGCAATCAGTCAAAGACATCCATTTTCCTCTGCTGCTATTTTGGGGACTGCTGCCCTATTGTCATCCCTGCCTGAGACCCCTGACTTAGTCGTCTTTTAATTAGAGCCACCAAGAATGACAGGCGGAGCCAGCCTACTGAGGGTGATCCATCACATGGCCCATTTTGCTCCCTGGCCTCGTAAATGACAGTGTATAAACAGGACATCTTGGATATCAAGATAGCTGCTTAAGGAAACAGAAGAACAAATGGTGACCACCTTGTAAGCTCCTTCCCTGCGATTATAAGCTCTAGTTTAGGGCTGTATTTAATGACACAGTATTTTGATTAATCATCCAAATAAACTTTACCAATGATGATCCTATTGAAGATGTTTTCTCTAAGCTTGCCCTTAAACAAACTGATGTCATAACCTAACACTTGTCCAAGGCATTGATTCATACCAGTATACTTACACTGAGCAATTGGGACAATTTTTAATGGAACTGCTTTTTAGCTAAATCCTTTCCACGTTGGTCAACAGTTATAGTCCCAGTCCTAGAAAATAAAATAAAAAAATTAACTCAATACTGGTAGGCTCTTTCTTTGTCATTACAGAAAGCACTACAAATTAGCCTACAGAGTGTTAATATTCAATTATATTTCCCAGGTAAAATTAAAGGAGTTCTTTATGCCTGATTCAATGTAACCTTATTATTACAGAGAGAAGATATTTAAGACCCAAAGTTATGTTAGGCTGGAACTCAACTCTATACCTATGTGGTGAGCCAGAGAAATGGAGTCTGAAAGTGATGAAGGCCTAGAGGTAAATACTTGGTATTACCCTCCTGGGCTCAGTGATTTGCCCATGTCTGGGAAAGTGCATGAAGTTTTGGTCCTCACACTCAATATCTACATATGGCCAGAAAGTTAGATGAAAGGCAACTAAAATAATCATGTGGATGAAGCAGTTCTCATAAAAAGGAAGACTTAAAAAGTTAAGACTCCCTACCCAGTAAAGTCTAAAAGGGAAACTGTTTTAAGGCCTGTGAAATTAAGATAAATAATGAGTAGGCTACGATGATATACTTGCTCATCAAATCCAAGAGATCAAATTTAGACAAAATCCAGGCAATCAGGGCATTTCACATTAACCCAAAACTTGCAGAACCTCCAAACAAGGGCCTTGGAATTTGTATTTTAACAAATGTCTCAGATGGTTCTTATGCCTAGGCAAATTTGGGAATAACTAAAAGCAGAGGCTGCAAACTCCTAGGATGAGTAATATTCATTACAAAAGTGTTCTCACCTGTCCTGCTGTTGGTCTTACATATGCCAATTATCAGTACACAGGACAGCTCGGTCCCGGTCCCCCGAAGGATGGCTGGGGCTATTTATGGATAACACAACTGACCCAGAGCTCACCAGCCTCTTCAGCCCAGGGAGACAGTAAAGGTTCAAGCAACAGTGTGTGACTGTGACGAGCTCAGCCTCCTTCAAAATGCACCTGTGGTTTCCCCAAGTTCTCTCACAGGCACATGGTCATTTAAAGTCTTCTTCTCAAGCCACAGGCCATTGAAGGCAGTCATCACAGGGCAGCTGCAGCTCCTGGTGGCCTCCTGTGTCCCCTTCCTCTCTCTCTCTCTCTCTCTCTCTCTCTCTCTCTCTCTCTCTCAATGCCCTTCTCTAAAGCCCTATCCTTCCTTCAGACTTCAGGACCACAATGGCTGGAGGAAGGGGCTGGGACTTGTGCTACATTCCCGTTCCTGGGTTTACTTTTCCAGGACTGCCCTGCTAAAAGCAATCCCCCTAAAAAGACTCGATTTTTACCTGCTTGTCAAAAATTTATTTTCATATTCACAAATATCACTTTAGGTAATATTCCCAAGCACATAAAAGATATTTTTAAATATGTTTATTTTTCAATTACAGTTGACATTCAATAGTGTTTTATATTAATTTCAAATATACAGCATAGTGGTTAGACCATTATATAACTTACAAAGTGATCCCCCGATAATTTTTGCACACATCTGGCACCATGAACAGTTATTACAATATTATTGACTATATTCCCTAGGCTTTACTTTATATCCCATGACTATTTTGTGACTGCCAATTTGGACTTTGTAATCCCTTCACCTTTCTCACCCAGCCCCCTAACCCCCTGGCAACTCTCAATTTGTTCTCTGTATCTATGAGTCTGTTTTTGTTTTGTTTGTTCATTTATTTTGTTAAAAGAGAGAATTTTTTTAAAAAAAACATATCTAGAATATAAATTGTTTTGTCAAATTTCAGCTTGATGGCATTTGAAAGACAGAATCAGTCAAATGATGGGGCTTCTGCATCCTGGGAACCACTGGGGAAAGAGCATGTTTTTCCTGGCACTTGCATAAGCCAACAGCAAATGGAAGACATTTACAGCTTAATGAATATGGTACGTAGCTGTTTCTAAAATGTACTTGCATTTCAATAATCTGTGTTAAGTGAATATGTTCTAAGTAAGAGCTCAATTGAACTAGAATCATAAATACAACTGCTTCACAAACCAAATCCAAAGCTCCAAAGGTTTAGGGTGAGTGTAGAACCTTCATTAGTCTGAGTCAAATTTGATCCCTTGTTTTTTGGTCATTTCACTGCTTGCTAAAACTGTCAACAAAAGGGAGAGGAAAGACCCCAAATCAATCAATGGCAGATGTTGATTTGCTACATAGAGAACTCTACAGTCTGAAAAGTCTGGAAGAACCCCTTCCTGGGTAATGTAGACCAAGAGAAGTTTCTGCTGGGCAAAACATTCTCATATGCTAAACAAGTGCCTCAACGGTAGACATTCTGTTTACAACTTAATCAAATTTACTTACTAGTCAACATCAGGGTCCATTTACTACAACCACGTGACTCCTCAAGAGAATTACATGAGTTTCATAAAGGGAAAAGAAGCCATCGCCACAGAGCCACTCCTCTGCTCAACCTGTTATCTTCAAAACGCATATTGCCCTCATGTGATGAGTGTGTAGGTCTTTGATAATGATAATTCTCCTACTCAGATGCTTGCCCAGGATTGGGGTGTGCTCACCCTGTCACTTCTGTTTCTCCCTATGATTAAAGTCTGGCCACTTGTGATGTGGATCTTTATTTAGAAAAGGAATAGTTCTCTAAAGATGTCAGCCCTAGTCATAGGTACTGATCAACCACTTTTCATTATTCAACATTTTGTACCACAAGACCCTTTTCAAAATAAATTATGAGACAATATATTTGTTCATCTGGTGTATTTTGGGTCCTAGACATACATCAATGTTATTCTCTTTTCCCCCTTCAATTCATTGGATAATAGATCTTAGTGTTGAAATGCTTCTTTCAATTAAACTTACAGTAGATCTAAAGATTCAGGATTGTAAACTCATTACAATGGGAGTAATATAGGAGAACAATACCATTGCTGTTGGCGCTGGGTACCCAGATGTAAGGGGGGGATTCCTTATAACAAGTTTCAAATTTAACCTTTGTGTGAGAGGATTCAAGTCCTACGAAGAAGACAGAATCAAACATCAAAATGCAATAAAAGGAACTCAGAGCATGTAAAATCAGTAGTGGTGAAATATTTAATAAAAGCCAAATATTGGACTTGGACTTGGGGAAGAAGACTTTGTTTCTATTGTGACCTGTTGGGGGTGAAATGGAAGCCCCCAGTCCTATGTTGAGCCAGACAACAGAAAATGGCCACATAATCCAGCTCAGACTGTGGTGAAAGACAAGCTTTGGGGGTGGGGGGAGGAAGGGAGGAGTGTTCATTCCCAGACTATTTTACTTGATTATTTAAGCCCAACAACTAGGGTTGCCCTATTTAGCAAACAAAAATACTGAATACCAATTAAATTTGAATTTTGGATAAGAAATAATTTGTTAGTATAAATATGTCCCTCCCATACAATACTTGAGATATACTAAAAATATATTCTTTCTTTATCTGAAATCCAAATTTAACTGGGCATACTATAATTTGTTTTTGTTTTTTGTTAATTCTCACCCAATGATATTTTTTCATTGATTTTTAGGGAGAATGGAAGAGAGAGGGAAAGACAGGGAGAAATATCGATGTGAGAGAAACACATCAATTGGTTGCCCCTTGCACAAACCCCTACCAGGGCCCAGGCCAGGGAGGGGCCTGCAACCAGAATCCAACCTGGGACCCTTTGGTCCACAGACTGATGCTCTATCCACTGAGCCAAACCGGCTAGGGCTGGGCATACTGTAACTTATCTGTTAACTCCACCAGTTCACTGCCACAAAAGGAGACCAGATTTGAGTCTAAGATAAGAAACAAAATTTGAACTAATTTGTCTGGTTCAATATTACCTGAAGACCAAGAGTGCTAAAGCAGAGAGCAGAGATTTGGTACAAAAGAAAACCTCTTGTTTTTTCCTTAAAATAGAAGGACATTGCATGTTGTGATGGTGGTTTTATTTTTGTTAAATTTCCTTGAGTTAATATAAAATCATAATCCTTTGCATTTGTAGTAGCCTGGGGAAATAAGAATGTCATCCCTATGGGAGTTTATGTGCATTTCTAACAAGACTACAGTGACAAAGGACTAAGTACATACCACAGTTGAATTTAACAAGGGAAAATAGGATTGTCAGTGTGGCCCTTATGATTCAAGATGGGCAACCTTAAGGTGGGTTTATTTATTGTTTGGGGTTTAAGGTTTGGTGTGTCTGTGGAAATGTGTGCATTTGAGAGTGTCTCTGTTATAATAAGGTAAATCTCAGAGATGCATTGAACAGTGCACTGATAAAAACAAATTATTTTAAAAATCCATGATAAAAAATTTACATGTATTTTTTAGAATGCAGAATACATATATCTCTTTTTATAAATAGCAACCTGTAAGGACACAGAACACATTTATTAACTTGTACTAAAAATACCAAAGTGACTCAAGATCAAAAGTTATCATATGTAATTAATTCCCAAATACACCGACTATCTTTGAGACGAAGGAAATTACCCAGCCATCTACTATACTTCTTGGATATTCTGATGTTTTTTTAACATATATAAAATCCTATTTTTCTCATTATGCATCAGGAAATCAGAAACTGATTCCAAAGTAAAAGTAAGATTGAATTTCTTTATTACACACATTAGTCTCTCTCTATTTATCTAGAAATCTCTTAAGCACAAGAACGTCTCTTTGTTGTTTATGTCCCTGCAACCCGGCAGTGCCTGACTCACCATAGATGCTCAGGAATTATGCTCAGTGGATGAATCAATGATTCCAACAAGATTTTTTGGAAAATAATTCAATACTAAAAGGTGTCAACTGCCTTTTAGCATAGGTTTTATTGGGTAAGACTTGAAATGAGGTATGTGTATTTTTTAATCTCCATAGTTGGGGTTTAAGAAAAGTGACATCAAGCCCTAACTTGGCTTTAGCTTCCAGCCCTAAGACCTCCAAAAGGTGCGCTGGCTTTCTCTGCATCCAGGAAGGACCCCGTTTGCTTCTGCAGGAGCAGAGCAGCAGAGATTCCTGCATCTGTTCGTGTCTTCAAGGAGCCTGACCATGAAAGCAAGCAGCTTACTTACAAGCTCTTGTTACAAATACCATTCTATCAAAAAAAACCAAACACGTTATTTTTATTTCTTTATATCTAACTCCAAATAAAATGAATTATATGAAGAAAGAAATATAAATTAAATGTGAATTTCTTCCATAGCACAGTGATAATAACGCTGTTGTGTCAATGGCACACTGCAGAGAAAGAACAGGGAATGCAATAAACCAGAGGCCTCTCTACCCACACCTGCATTACTGACGCCTTCGTAAAAGACAAGGGAGAAAGGAGAGTATTACGCACTCAGCACCATATTGGAAAGCATTATGTACTCATTTTACAAATGAAGAAACTGACTTTGCAAAACTAGGGAGCAGCAGTGCTAAGATTGAACCCAGGTCTGACTGATCCCAAATGCTGCACTTTTGCTAAGGTATCATGAAGTTCTCCCTACATCAAGGGCAGATGGCTTGCAGCAGGCCATCACTGCTACTGCCTAGTCCATTAGTACACATAGCTGACTATGAGTGGATAAGGGGTGTCACTGCCTATTTGAAAGGACAGCAGATAATTCTATTCTTTTATGGAATGAGAGGTGCCAAAGTTAGGATGAATCAGTTCTCACTAAAAATTGCAATGGAGCACATAAGATCAGATTAGTACAAAAAGAATAAGATACATGACTTCTTTCATTGTTAAATTTGGATTTCTGTTCTCTGCATTTTTCATGCTAGCTTGCTGAAACATCAAGGTTAATGTCTCAGGAACCTTCCAATTCCTGAATGACCTTTATCCCAATTATCCTTCCATACAACACCTGCTTCAGAAAAATTAACCTTCAAAATTCCCCTAAAATGGAATTTTCCTGAAGATCCGTATCCCATTCCACTCACTTCTTGAGTTAAATATGCTCAAATGTCCGTGCTGTCACAAAGGGTAAGAGTCCCTTCTTTTCTACGGCTGAGTAGTATTCCATAGTGTAACTGTACCACTGCTTTGTATCCACTCATCCACTGGTGGGCACTTGGACTGCTTCTAAATCCTAGCTGTTTTAAATAATCTGCAATGAACATAGAAGTGCACGTATTTAAAGCTGATACAAGTCATCTAGAATCTAATTCTACTCAATGGCGCACAGAGACAATGGGAATGCATGTATAGACAAGATTGTCTGTGAGTTCATTATTGTTGAAGCTCGGCAATGAGCACTATATATTCTCTTTGAATTTTTATATGTTTAAAATTTGGCATAATAAAAAGTTTTTTAAGTACTATATGTAAATAGTCTAAAGTGAAAGAGAAATCAAGATCTGGACATGTGAGCTAAAAATAGATGTCATGTAAAGAGCGAGCAGAGTCGGTAAAAGCCGCAACTCAGCTTAAAGAACAACATTCTAAAACTCTAAGCAAGAAGTTAATAAGAAAATAATGTTTGATAAGACATGTTTGCTAAGACATAAATAACCAATCAGACAATAAGGCCATGAAGTTCCTGGAGCTGGAAGAGGAAAGCAATACACGGACCACAAGGAAACATGTACCCAACTAGAGCAGAGGCAGGAACTGGAGGCCTCAGTCTGGAGAAAATAGTTAGCAAAGAGTAACAGAAGAACAATGAGGATCTGAAACCAGGAAACAGACAGTGACGTGAAGATGATGGGATACGTTATAGAGATAATTCATAACAACAGTTGGCAGTGCTTGATGTTGGGATGAGAAAGAAAGAGGAGCCAAAGATGATTCAATTCACTTACAACAAATATTTACTGAGCTTGTCTCAGTAAACATTTACATGGTCTCAAAGACCTGCAGTCTAATTGAAAAGCTAAATAATTAAAACAATTGACTATATGCAAGTGTTTTATAACAGACATTAGCATGAAAGTTGTAGGAGATCACAGATGAAGGAGCAACTATACAGATGGTGATATTAACTTGAGATGGGGAAACACTGGAGGGACCGCAGTTTAGAAAGGACTGGAGAATTTAAGATGCTTATGGGACATCCAGTTGAATAGGTTCAATAGGAGGTTAGACATAGAGTTCATATATCAGCATATCGCCAATGACTTCTAAAATAAATGGATTAGCTAAGTGTGTTGGAAGACAATTTTTAAAATGCCATCTTTATACTTTGGGCCTATAGATATAATTTGATTTTATCAACATCTTCATCAAGTTAAAAAAATTTTATTTAAATCTTGCCTGAATGCTAAGTAAACAAACTTCCAATTTAATGCTACTATAAAGATTTGCCTAAATCATCTGAACCTAATGTCAAGTTCCCTGATGCACCATTTAAGTGCATCATTTAAGATAAATTAAAACAACTTTTTTGTAAATGCTTGCCTCACTGCACTTATCAGTACAGATATAAAACAGCAGCGTGATAATGGCTACCTTCAATGAAAAAAATGTTACTTCAAAAATGGAAATGCAATAAATCTTTGTTTTAAGGGCTATGTAGCAGAAGACAAATGCAGCTCTGAATGGCAGTAATTTTCCAAATGAAAACAAATCATATTTCTCTTTAGAAATGTTTGCACTCAATTTCTGAATGCCCTATCTTAGAATTTATTGTTTTCTTGCAAAGTAGGAAATTGTGAAACTGTCTCTAAAGTTCATTTATCAATTGGTCCAAATATATGCATAGAGCAATGACTCTGAAGTGTCTACATTTGCTATATATGGGTAAGCTGTAACACACAATTTTCAACATCAGTTGACGTCATCAAGAACTCAAAAAGCAAAAAGTGCCATATGGCATAAAGTTCATACTTACAGAGACAAGGGACTACACCATCTACTAGTTTTTTTATGAGTGTGATTTATTTATTACACTTGAACTATGTGAGTCATACTGGAGAAGCAATTTTTGAAATGTATGGTGCCATAAGCTAGTCTGCAGGGAAATCTTCTAGATTTTAACTTATATTTATAAAAGAAATTTGATAGGAATTTTTTTTTAATTTGACGATCATAAAAACTTACTGTTCATGAATTATAAATTTGAAAGAAACAGTACCAAAAGATCAATGAAAAATAACTTATCAACCACAGCTAGAGAAAAGAATGAATTATCTTTCTATAAAAACTATTACAAATTGTTATGTTAAGAAGTGGCCGTCTACTATTTAATCACCACACTTATTTTCTTAGGTGGAGAAAGAAATCCCATATTACCAATATACAATATATAAAATTTAAGCAGGCTATGAGATATCATTGAACATTTGCATATGAACTTCTTTAATTTATTAGAAAACGTAAGCAAAATTCTTAGGATGAGCCATTTTCATCTTATACCTGTCTGCAGATCGTCATCGTGAGAAATGAAAGGCGATATTCTCCAAAGTAAGCTCGCCAACTTGAACAATGAACTACAGGTGAGTAATGGTACAGAGGGAAAGGTTTATTTACTAGTAACTACCACCTCACCCAGATATGGCATGGAAGGCTGCCTGGAGACCCCCACCCCTTGCAATGCACGTTTTGTTTTTATCTACGCAACGTGCATGATACAGTACATGACTAAACATAATCCGACTTGATTTGTGCCGCGGTGATTCTCCGAAGAACAAATCTGTAAAATGACAATGTGTGAAAGCTTAACACAGTGATAGAAAACGGCAGTGGCACGGTTCATATCTTAAACTGACAGACTGACGGTGATTATTGCAAGGACAATGCCCTGCATATGTCAAACGATTTGCAAATAATTTATGTCACCTTCCCCTCCATTATTGTTTTTGCAGAGGACATAAACTGTGTCACCAATATTAAACTGTCTGCAAAAAGAGCCGAGCTCAGCTCTCTCCTCTCTGACAAAGCAGAGCCATCTGCACCCAGACAAACATGCATATGGCCATCATTTGTCCAACACCTTACACAGTGTGAAGGTTTTTTACTTGAAATGCCAACCTGGGTGGCAGATGATGTATGTGTTTCCTCAGTCCCGTGATTACCAGCCCCGCGCGCCGCGCCGCGCTCTCACCTCATCAGTTCCACAAGCTGCGCTGCGAGGTGCGTGAGGCATTTGCAGCGAGATGGCTTCTGACACGCCGCGGTGCGGGCGGCCTGGTGTGAATACCCGACTCCAGATTTTGTTCCAATCAGGGTCAAGGTCTGACCCGCCGAAATTGGTGTGGGTAGAGATTTAGGACTGAAAAACGGCCATTTGAAAACTGGAATGAATATATTTTGATAAAGGGGAAAGCAAAGGGCGTTCGCTATCCCCCGCTTCACTGCTGTGCCAGATGCCTTGGAAATGGCCCGAGCATTGTTCCTCTGGAAGAGGATGCCGAGGAAGGCGCACTGGTTAGCTCCGGTGGTAAACAGGAAAGGTTACACCTGCATCTAGAAGGTGCCATTAGTTTGGGGGATTTGCCAGTACTCTCGACGAGAGTAGAGGGAATTGTCACCCCTGCAAAATGACATGACAAAGCAGCTCTCCTGCAGACCTGTAGCAAGGTTTAGAGGGACACTTAAGTAGGATTTTCTTTTATGTATTTGTGTGTGTGTGTGTGTGTGTGTGTGTGTGTGTGTACACAGAGGATGTGCGACCCTAAAATATAATTTCAAAACTATGAAGCTCTTTTCTTTTTAAGAGCTCTCCAGAATCCAGGCATGTGATCCAAGGCAGAATGCATTATTTTTTCTCTTCCTGTGAGCCTGTTTTTATTGGGGAGGGAGAAGAAGTAATAGAGGAGAACTGAGTTTAAAATTGTCCCAAAGGGATCTGTTTAGACATCAAATAGCTTTTACAAAACCACACATTTTGATGAGTTACGTGTAAATTCATTAGAAACATATGGACTTAGTTTCCTATAAAATTCACATGGACATAAAATATCTCCCCGAGCTCCTTTATTCAGTGACGGGTGGTCGAGGGACTAAAAGAAGACATATGATACTTAGTTCTCATCTTCTGTCATAAATAAAACACTTTTCAAACATGGACTTTGAAAATTCAACCAAATACCTAATTTTATTTCCTCCCCACTGATTTTTAGAGAGAGTGGGAAGGAGAGAGAGGGAGAGGGAGGGAGGAAGGGAGATGAGAGAGAGACATTGATTGGTTGCCTCCTGCATGAGCCTGACCGGCCTGGATTGAACCTGCAACCCAGCTACGCATCCTTGACCCTTGACCAGGAATCGAACCTGAAACCCTTTGGTTTGTGGGCTGACTCTCTAACCACTGAACAACACCAGTCAGGGCCAAAATACATAATTTTAATTAAAAGAAATAATTGCGCCAAAACCGGTTTGGCTCAGTGGATAGAGCGTCGGCCTGCGGACTGAAAGGTCCCAGGTTCGATTGCGGTCAAGGGCATGTACCTGGGTTGCAGGCATATCCCCAGTAGGAGATGTGCAGGAGGCAGCTGATCGATGTTTCTCTCTCATCGATGTTTCTAACTCTCTATCTCTCTCCCTTCCTCTCTGTAAAAAATCAATAAAATATATTTAAAAAAAGAAAAGAAATAATTGCTCAAAATTAATTTATTAAGAAAAAAGTCTCTGTACTTGCCAAATTGAAAACATATCCCACCTAGGAGCAGTTATGCTTATGGGAGTGAGTGAAATATAAGCCATCAAGACCATCTTAATAGTGACTCAATGTGATATGATTTCCAGAAATTGAATTCTCTCGATTGAAAATAACAAGCAGTTAACATTATTTCCATCAATATTTGCCACTTCTGATTACCTGCAGTTCTTTCAATTAATGACAAGAGGGATGAAAATGGAACATACATATGTTAATAATAAAATTATAGAAAAACAAGCATGATGGATTTTGTGAACTGACATTTGGGGAGTTTGTAAAATGTGGCCAGCAGCCCCTTAGGAACTTATCTTGGCAAGTTTAATTTACATGTTTTTAAATGAGCATTGTCAAGGTTGGCAGAGCTAAACAACAGTTTACCCCTCCTCCAGGCTTTTTGTTCTCCTACACCTTAAAAATATCAATGATATGGTTATTAAAGGTCTCTTTTATGCACAGATTTTTGAGAGATTCATTAAATTAGAATTATGAAAATTTAGTCTTTTATTTTTTTAGTATATTTTTATTTATTTCAGAGAGGAAGGGAGAGGGAGAGATAGAAACATCAATGATGAGAGAGAATCATTGATTGGCTGCCTCCTACACGCTTCCTACTGGGGATGGAGCCCGCAACCCAAGCATGTACCCTGATGGAGAATCGAACCTGTGACTGCCTGATTCATAGGTTGATGCTCAACCACTGCAGGGCTAATGTCTTTTAAAACTGTCAATGGGGGGGAAAGGAGATACATGTAATACTTTCAACAATAAAGAATTTTTAAAAAAGAGAGATGTCATATACAGAAAAAAAATAAAATTGCCTATTGGACCTTTCCATTTGGATGTCCAACACAGCATATCTGAAACTGGCCTCCAAATTGTTAATGTCTCATGAATTGCTTTTCTTCCATTGAGGTTCAAAGTCTTTAATGCTACTTTCTCCTTCACCACATCTGATTAGCTATCAACCCTGTAAACTTTCCCTTTCCAGTTATCAGATCTGCCCCTTTATTTCCTCTTCCTTGGCAATGTTCCTGACCCAAGTACTCATGACCTCAACTCAAATGAATGAAAAGGCCTTTCATGCTTGTTTCCTACCTCCAGGAGGCAGATGCCACATCATTTCTCAGTGATCAATCCTTCTCAGTGGCCAATCTAATTCTTATTCTTCTCTCCAATAAGAATAATATTTGGGATTGTGGAATACTTAAAAATCCACAAAGCACTTTCACATTCATAAATGTGTTTGATCTTCACACCAAGCCTGTGAGGTAGGCTGAACAGGTATGGACATTTCTGTTTTGTAGATGAGGAAGCTAAAACTTGGAGAGGCACTTGCCTGCAGCTGTACATAGCTACCAATTGGAGCAGAAGTCCAGTCCTAGAGCAATTTCCATTACACTATTCTGTCTAGAGTAACTGCATGTTGCCTAAATGTAGAAATTGCTTAAGTACACTCAAGGCCTATTGCAATCAAGTCCAAATTTACACCTATAAGTTTATGTTTCATGGCTACCCTACAGAAATCTTCTGATCCAACTGCATTGATGTACCTACTGTTCAAAAATGTGCAAGGCACTCTTTGCTCCTACTGTGAGCTTCTAATAAAAGTCATCCCCTATTCAAAGTCTACCTACCTACCTTTTAAAATGCAATTTTTACCTTCTCCATGAAACTTTCTAAAACCATTCCATTAAATGTCAATAATTTTTTCACATGTTTAAACTCGGAATAATTTTTTTTAATACTAATTTGGTCCTCATCCCCTTTTGAGGCAATGCCCTCTGGGGATTCCATTTGATGACCATGCGTATCAGGTGATCTTTCCACTCACTGGCGGGAACACAAAATGACTTCCAGTCCTTTGTGAGCTCTAAAGATCGTTTTGCTTGTTCTTTTCCAATAGTTCTTTTCGTATTTAAAAGTCATTATTTATTCTCTTCTGGAATGGGAACAACTACACCACTAGTTCTTCCCTGAGTCTTGGTAGTGTCTTCATATCCATGTGATGATCAACACTCAGTTGAAGTCTCGTAGCAGAACCCTCTACAGCTCTCTCGAGTTCTCTCTCTATGCAGTTATCTCATCTCCAGTGTTCTGCTTTGTGAATTCTAGCCGCCTTAGTCTTCTCGAACTCTGAACCCTTGTTGTCTCAACTCAGGGAGCCTCCTGGGCTGCTTGGTTCCCGTCCTGTGCTACAGCCTGGACATGCTCTCTAAGCAGACGCTGGAATAATGAAGGACTCACCTTGTTTCTCTTCATGCAAGGATCACTATTCTGAACTACTGTTTCAGTCTGAACCATTGTTTCCTAAATTTTGTCTGGTTGCTTTAGTTATTTAAAGCAGAAGAATAAATCCAGTCCCTGTTACTCTCATCATGACAGGAGGTGGACATTCTTAGATAGCATCCTGAAATGTAAAGATTGCTCTAGAAGTCAGAGTAAAAATAAACCTTTCTTATTTGGAATTGCAAAAATAAAAATAAACAAAAAAACAACAAAAATAAAAATTTACCCTTTCCGAAAATAAGCCCTTCAGCAATGGTATTTAGTTCAAAGTAGAAAAAGCAAAATGTATCAACTCTTTAGAGTGAAATCTTTAACTTATACACATATAAGGAGGTAATTCAATATTTTGGAGGTAATTTACCTACCTAACCTCTTTCAAACTCATTTTAATTTTTTAAAGGTCACAAAAAAACATTATTTCAGTAGGCAGAAATATTTTCTGATGTACTATTAAAATATAAGGCATTTCTCCATTTGTGTTGTTTAGTCTCAAAAAAAAAAAGTGGGATTGGCAACACAAATATGTTTGTAGTCAGAGAGGGAGAGAGGGAGAGAGGGAGAAAGGGAGAGAGGCAGAGAGGGAGAGAGGCAGAAAGGGAGAGAGGGAGAGAGGGAGAGAGGGAGAAAGGGAGAAAGGGAGAAAGGGAGAGGGAGAGAGGGAGAGAGGGAGAGAGGGAGAGGGAGAGAGAGACAATACACAG